ATGCTTTTAATATTGAAGGATTTTTCTTATTTTGACTGTACATTGTAATTGAGGGGCATTTAACTATTCGAGATACTACCCTACCGTACAGATCTGATTTTTAGACAGGAAGAATGGAAGTAATTGTTCAACTCACTTTTCAGATGGTTTCATTTGTTTTCATGTTGTATTTACTTAACTGATGCACCATGTCTCATTTTACTGTGTACTGCTCCTTTGTTTTGGTAACAGTTTGTAAAGTGTAATTCAGCAACTCTTTCCAAAACTGGATTGCATCAGATAGTATGGCTTTTCCAGAGGCAATCTCAGGATAACAACGACAAAGCAGAATTTAGGATGTTATGAGAAATGGTCGGTGCATTGCAGGGATGTCCTTTTCAGCAGTTTTACACAAATTAAATCAGAGTCAAATTGACAAATCATCAGCCTTTGATTCTCCATTTCTCCTGTCAAGGAGAGCTAGGGTAGAGCTTTTCTTAATCATCACTGTTAATTCAAATTCCATATACCAAGCAATCCTTGTGGTGAAGTCAGAGGTGGGAGGCATAATTAATGACATTTTAGAGATGTGTAAGGGAAATGTAATGGGAAGAGAGCACAGCTAGACACAAACAGTGAAAGAGGTTCCTGCAAAGCATTGATGATAATTTCTTGACTCAGGTGGTGGAGACGCCAACAAGGAGAGGTGCGCTGCTAGAGCTTGTACTAACAAACAAAGAAGGTCTAGTTGGAGAGGTGAAGGTTGGGGGCAGCTTTGGCTGCAGTGACCATGAGATGGTGGAGTTCAGGATCCTGCAAGGAGGAAGCAGGGCAATAAGTAGGATTGCAACCCTGGACTTCAGGAGAGCTAACTTTGGCCTCTTCAGGGCCCTACTTAGGGGAATCCCATGGGGTAGGGCCCTAGAAGGAAGGGGGGGGTCCAAGAAAGCTGGTTAATATTCAAGGATCACCTCCTCCAGCAGTGCATCCCTCTGAGTAAGAAGTCCAGCAAAGCGAGCAGGAGACCTACATGGATGAGCAAGGAACTCCTGGCAAAACTCCAACAGAAGAAGGAAGTCTACAGAACGTGGAAAAGGGGACAGGCCACTTGGGAGGAATACAGGGACGTTGTCAGAGTATGAAGGGATGTGACAAGGAAGGCTAAGGCCCATTAAATCTGGCAAGGGATGTCAAGGACAACAAGAAGGG